CCCCAAAACCCCAAAACCCCATAAAGCAAAAGTTATGTGATATTTTCAGTGATGAATTTTAATTCTTTCAATATATTAATGAGCTTATATTAGAAGTATTGCTCATTAATTTATATTAAAACCTTAAGGAAAAACTAATAATGAACACCGATGAATAAACCTTGGCCTTTGAATTCCTAATTGATCAGTTCCTTTAGCCTTATGACTCAACTAAGTGCAATGAATAATAACTTGAAAGCCCAAAAAATCTAAATTATTTCGATTAAGAGAATAACCACAAGGACATCTAGCAATCAATCTTCGACTTTGAAAGATTTCACCACTATCCAGCTAATATTGAAATTTTAACTAGCAGCCACAATATCAGCTACCTAATGTCGCCACGCAATGTTTAAATGCCACAATATAATCTATCAAATAATTAAGATTTTAGTGGTCAAGGACTTTAGCAGTTAACATTTAATGCTGACAAGATTACATATCAGGATTTGGATTTATCTGATCTCGACGATGATGACAATAAGCATACTCAAGTTGATTACATGTCATAATCACCCTCAAATGAAATTCTGACTAAGATTTAGAAGAAGCAATAAAAAGTTTAAGTAAAAGGATCAAGTACACAGCAAGCAAGTCAGAGTGGAAAAATACCTAAGAGAAAGAGAATGGAAAAGTACTGCAGTAAAGAATTAGATTAGTAGATTGCTTGTATAGATCCATAGATATTAGTTTAATATATAGACTTGAGATACCATGAAATATTTGATTCTAGAAATACTTTAAGAATAGTTGATATGCTTAAAGAATAACATATATTGAATGTCAAGCGAAGGGATGTATTACTTAAAACAATTATTAGAGATATTAGAAAAGCTTATTTAAAGTAGTTTTTGGAAGAAAGTAGATACTTGTCTCTTTCTAGGTATAGACATGAAAAGTATTATCTTTACTCGATTTAATTGTTCGTTCAATAATTATTAAGCAACAAGTAAATTGCAAGAGATTAATAAATTAAAATATAGTAATAAACCTAGCCAGACTAAGAAGAATCTTTTTCAGATGCTGAGTTGATGAATGATCTAGTATTCTTTATTGGATCGATGTTTTATCCATAGAGAATGTTACAAATTATTGAAAACAAAAAAATAAAGAATATAATTAGTTCCATTAACTCATGCTTATATCAGTTCACATTTAAAAGATTAGAATTTTTAACACAATTTGAAGCATTTAAATTCCTAGTTTAAAATTATATGGAAAACTTCAGTGATTAATCAATTAAGAAAAATAATCTTTAAACAGAACAAAAATAAGATTTAATACTTGGGTTGAGATTCCTTCATAGAATAGTAGAATTCAAATAGTGAGAAATGATAGATAAATTAAAAAAACCTCTATTGAATTGTAGAATGAGGGAATTAAAACTTGAATAGAAATTACTCATTTCAATTGATTGAGATTTTAAACCACTAAAATGAGTATTATAATAAAAATATGGGAAATATTGCTCTTCCTTTATAGCATGACATTTCCATTATTATATTTAATTTTATAGATACAAAAGTTATAAACTTATCTTCCAAATTTTAGTGAATGGGGTTTTGGGGTTTTGGGGAGATCGGAAGAGCACACGT